GAGTCTCACAGTCTCTCTTGCCCGGGCTGGCTTTGAACCGCGATCCTCAGATCTCAGCCTCCTGAGTAGCTAGGATTACAGGCGTGAGCCACCAGCTCCCGGCAGGTGTTGGGCATTTTAACGCAATGGTGGCTAGTGCCTGTAATCCTAGCTTCTGGGGAGGCTGAAAAGGAAGAAGCAAGATGTGGGATTCTCCACATCCCCTCTGCCTTCTGTCCTCCCTTCCACTTTGCTGCCTGAACCCCACCTCCATCTACCTCTGTCCCAGTATCACCTGCTTTAGCTCTGGAGAACTTTGTTCAAAGCTCCCTTTGCCTCCAGCACTTTGTGGGAGCCAGCCCCTTGAGCCCCAGTACTTGTGGGAGAGCTCTGATGCCCTCTCACACAGAGTCCACTATCCTGATTTTCTGCAGGACTGCACCAGTCCCCTGTAGTTCTGTGCTGATTGCACTTGTACAGCCTGAGGAACAGGTCAGGTAGTGTTGGATACAGCCTCTGGGGCCATAGTATCACAACACTTGGCTCCACCTGACTCTCCCAATTGGGGTTGGCTGAGCCTCAGGAACCTTGCTTAGCCTTGCTGGGCCTCCTAGCCATGAATGTGGGGGTGATGCTGAAAGGGTTATTAAATAAGAGAACCATAGAAAGTTGTGACACTAGTACTTCACAGATCTGTCCACCTCTGTCATCTTCCTCTTTGCTGGGCATATCTAGATATGTCACATATCTAGACAGGGGCTTGCTACAGTGGGCCCTGACACCCAGATCCAGCCTTAGAGTCACACCTTGTAATATTGGGTAAACTGGAACTGAACTGCTTGAGGTAGTATTGTGTTGGTGTCTTCAATATCAAGGTTCTTTTCTCTTCCCTTAGAATGTGCAAAAGTCTTCTATGCTGCGGGGGCGAAGCTGGTGCTCTGTGGCCGGAACATAAGGGCCCTGGATGACCTCACCAAAGAGCTTGCTTCTTCTGCCTCTCAGGTGAGTCCAAGGCAGGTTTTCTGTGAGAAAGGAAGGGTCATTGTTGCCTGTCAGCCATGGGCAGCTGAAGACGCAGTGGCCCATAACTGGGCTGCTGAACAGGACATCCACATGGTTATACCGTGCCAGGGAAGGATGCAAGGCTCCAAGTGAAGTGAGCCACAGGCAAGCAGAAGGAAGAACCATCCTGTGGCTTAGCCATCCCCAGGCCACCACTGGCAGCTAGGCTGTGGTTGGGGAAGTCTGCTCAGGGAATGGACTCCCCTTCCTTTCTAATCGCTACTCACCTGGTTGACCAGGAGCGGGCAGTGGATGATGACTGTAAGGTTTTTGTCTTTGTTTTGCCAGTTCTGAGGCTTGAACTTTGGGCTTGGGCACTGTCCTGAGCTCCTTTTGCTTAAGGCTAGCATTCTGAGTCACAATGTCAATTCCAGTTTTTCTGTGATTTAATTGGAGATAAAAGTCTTAATAGCTGTGCGCCGGTGGCTCACGACTGTAATCCTAGCTACTCAGGAGGCTGAGATCTGAAGATCTCAGTTCAAAGCCAGCCCAGGCAGGAAAGTCCATGAGATTCTTATCTCCAGTAAACCACCAGAAAGCTGGAAGTGGTACTGTGGCTCAAGTGCTAGAGTGTTAGCCTTGAGCTGAAGAGCTGAGGGTCAGCTCCCAGGCCAAGAGTTCAAGCCCCACGACTGACCCCCCCCCCAAAAAAAAAAAAAGAAGAAGAACAAAACATAACTCAAAGACTTTCCTGCCCAGACTAGCTTTGAACTTCGATCCTCAGATCTCAACCTCTTGAGTAGCTAGGATTATAGGCATGAACCAGTGGTGCCCAGTTGACTGTAAGATTTTTGGGGGGTCCAGTCGTGGGGCCTGAACTCTGGGCCTGGGCGCTGTCCCTCAGCTCTTCAGCTCAAGGCTAGCACTCTACCACCTGAGCCACAGTGCCACTTCCGGCTTTTTTTGCTTATGTGGTGCTGAGGAATCGAACCCAGGGCCTCATGCATGCAAGGCAAGCGCTCTACCACTGAGCCACCTTCCCAGCTCCTGCCAGACTGCTTTCTATAGCAGCTACCAGCAGTGCACAGGGCTCCACTTTCTCTACCCTTGATACTGATTGTTTTTTCTTTCTTATCCAGGGAGGCAGGAAGTGAATCTTTTTTTGATTTTGAGCTTTTTTGGGAGAGGGGACGGAGGAGGAGGTCAGTCCTGGGCTTAAACTCAAGGACTGGGCACTGTTCCTGAGCTAGCTAGCTAGCTTGCTTGCTTGCTTGCTTGCTTGCTTGCTTGCTTTCCTTCTTTCTTTCATGTTGGTCATGGGGCCTGGGCGCTGTCCCTCAGCTCTTCAGACCAAGACTAGCACTCTACCACTTGAGCCACAGCCCCACTTCCAGCTTTTTCTTCTTATGTGGTACTGAGGAATTGAACCCAGGGCCTCATTCATGCAAGGCAAGTATTTTACCACTGAGCCACCTTCCTAGCCCGTCTGTGAGCTTTCTTGCTCAAAACTTTTGCTCTGCCACTTGAGCCACAGCTAGACTTCTGTTTTTGTTTTTTGTTTTTTTTTTGGTGTTGGTCTAGACTTGAACTCAGGATCTCAAGATCTCCCATGGCTTTTTCTCTTTGTCTGAGAATGAGACTTGAACTCGGTATCTGGTGCTTTTTGTTCATTGCTTGGTGCTTTACCATTTGAGCCACACCTCTACTTCTGTGGTTTTGGTGGACTTTCCTGCCAAAGCTGGCTTCAAACCATAATTCTCAGATCTTACTTAGCCTCCTGAGTAACTGGGATTACAGGCATGAGCCATACAGGCCCAGCTTGTTGGGAGGTTTTTGACTAATGATTCCATGTCTTTAGTTGATTTAGGTTTACTGAGATTTTCTTTCTTCTTGAGTCAGTTTGGATAATTTGTATTCCAAAGGATCTGCCCATTTCTCCTAGGAAATCTAATATGTAGATATATTGATTTATTCATAGTACTGTCTTATTTCGATCTTTGTTAGTTCAGCAGTACTGCCCACTTTTCATTTCTGAATTTAGTTATTTGTATCTCCTCTCTTTTTTGATCAAGCTAGCTCATGGTTTCTCAGTTTTGTCAGTTTTTTCAAAGCACCACCTTCTGGTTTCATTGACTTTTCTCTATCGTCTGTTTTGTTTTTCTCTGCCCTAATCTTGATGATTTCCCTCATTTGCTGGCTTTGAAAGTCTCTCAGTGCACTGGAGAAGAATGTATATTCTGCTGCGGATTGATAGTCGCATAGATTTGTTAAGCCATATATTGTTTACTATCTTGTGCAAAAACTCCATTTCCTGTTGATTTGTCTGTTATTGAAATAGAGTATTTGGCTGGAGGCATAGCTCAGTTGGTAGAGTGCTAACCAGTAAGTGACAGTATCAGGTACTGAGTTTGAGTCCTGGTCTCAGACCTAAAAAAATACAAATAAGATAGAGAAATATGAAAAAAAGCAAAAAAGAAAATACAGTGAATTCTTTGTTTCTCCCTCTAGTTCAGTTTTGCTTTATCTATTTTTATGTTTATGATTGTTGTGTTTTCTTTTT